ATAATTGTCAATTAAAAATATTTAAAAATGATGATTCAACAATGGTTGGTTTGGGGGTTATACTACCAACCAATATTTGAGGTTGTCATAGTCTATGAATTGGGGATCCCGTTCTTAATCAGGCAGTTTTTTACGGGACGACATAGTTGCGGGTTTAGCAGCCACTGCTCTATTTACTGTCAGTCCTAGAGCTTGGTCAGTGAGTTGGAAAATTGGCACACATGCTTCCAGGATTCCATCATGAATCATGTACTATAGCCCAGATGTACGTGCTATGTACCCACAGTGTGGCCCCACCAGTTGTGTTGGTTTATAAACCCATCTAACTAGTTGCCATGGGCGCTGCAGGGCGCCTGGGTGTTTTGTTGTCTTTGTTGGTTTGTTTTTGTTTTTTTGTTGTGTTTTTCTGTTTTTGTTTGATGATGGGGTGGGGTGGGGTGGGATGTTAATGTTCATGTTCATGTTCCGCTGATGATGTTGCGTTGATCATGGGGTGGGGTGGGGTGGGGTGGGATGGTAACGTATGTTCATGTTCATGTTCGCTGATGATGTTGCGTTGATCATGGGGTGGGGGGTGGGGTGGGCGTTCATGTTCATGTTCATGTTACGCTGATGATGTTACGTTGATCATGGGGTGGGGTGGGGGGGGTGGGATGTTAACGTTCATGTTCATGTTACGCTGATGTTAACTTTCATGTTCAGGCACTGGTGACTTTGTGACCCACTCCTCGAAACTGGAGCAAAGGGTCTGACAATGGATGTGGCGCAGAACAAAGATGCGCGGCAATAATTCAGAGAAACTCACTGCCATGAGCAATACTGTCACGAGTAGTTTTTGAGAAGTGAAAAAAAACAGGCGTGCAAGGCTGCATGCGCACTTACATTGGGAAGTGTACGCAAACCTCCTTAAAACACCCAGGCGTCTCTCAGCGCCGTCCGTTCTCAACTAGTTCGATATATCTACCATACAAACATCATAAGCAAAGTTACAAATCAACTTACCCTCTTATAATTATAAACCAACATAGATGTGAAAAACCCATCATGAACGTATATCATTTTTCCTAGGGTTTCCCCTGGCTCTGTTTCCCGGAAAAATGCCGTTATTTTTTAATGTGGTCGTTGCTTGGAATCCATTGCTAGCCACCGCAAATCCTTGATTCCATGCAGAGAAGAACCCATATTGATTTCTGAAACCATCCATCTGTACCTGTTTTTTGTGAAACGCCTGGTTTTCGAAGAACCGACCAAACAAAATAGCACCGACACAAACCTGGCTTCATCTAGTGAACTCAACATGAAAATGCCGCCTGCTGCACCAAATCCTTCGGGAGCTCGCGGCCAGCTAGGGCATGCCTGGCCAAGTGGCCCATCCCATCGTAAGTAGCTTAGTTCACCCTAGTTATAAGTGGATTAACCCTACAAAAATCCCACTAACAAAACCAGGGTTATTAATATAATTGAGTTATAACATGTTATAACTCACTTTCAGTGGATTAACCCTACAAAAATCCCACTGAAAAAATCCAGGGTTACTAGCCATGTTATAACATGTTATAACTCACAACTCGGCTTCGTGGCTAGTTCGCAGCTACCAATAGCAACCGACCCCCAGTGGATCGGTTACCTGTCCCATGGCCAGGCTGAAGTTGAGTCAGCCCCATTTGTTTGTCGATTGGTGATTCAACCGATGTTAAACAAAACATACCAAAACAAACATAGGTTTGTGATTGTTTGTGGATATGGGTATGGGTCAAAATTAGGTACCCCAAAATTATGGATGGTTAATACTAAACTAGACATTCACATCTGTGGTCCCCTAGGTCTTCCATTTTGACCCACATCCATATATTTATATAATTATAGTTAATGGATTTGAATGCTCCGTCTGGGACATTATAAGATATATTTATCTGGTTGGTGGTTGACCTACCCCTCTGAAAAAATATGAGTCAATGGGAAGGATGACATCCCATATATGACATGGAAAATAACAAATGTTTGAAACCACCAACCAGTTATAGTTAATGGATTTGAATGATCCGTCTGGGACATTATAACATATTATAACAACCACCATTAAGATGATTGATGCTTATTAGTGGTCATCATCCCATGTGAATGGATGTTAGTGGATGATGTCTATTAGTGCATGATTATTACTGGACTCATCTATAGATCTGGAGAAATTATTCACCTGAAATCTTGGGACATGTGGGGATAGTTATCCCTACTACTGATCATGTCCAGTGATGTCGCAGTGAGGTCGTTTTAATTCAGCCAAATAGATATATACTACCATAAACCATATTATTATCCATATTTATCCTAGCCTTAAAATCAACTTAGCCGCAATCAAAAATTGGGGCCCACTGCTGGTAACTGCTGGTTTCTGGATATCTTCTCGAACTGGCCATCGGGGCTGACCAGCTCCCAAGACACCAGCTCCCGGATCCAATTAAGGCCGTTTGAGGCAAATGAACTTGCGGACAGGGCATAACTTGAGCCATCAGGTCTATGCCTCCGAAAGTCGGGAACCACTCCGAAATGCTGGAAAAATGCACTGCTTCAAATCCAGTGGCCACATCTCTCGGACATCAGCGGTGTCGAAGGTAGCGGAGCCCACCAAGTGGGCGCCGGGCCCTCTTGGTCTGAGGACAAGCGGTAGTTGGAATATAACTAACCAATAACTAATGATATGAATATGATATGAATATCTGAAAAATCGGGAATGATTTACACTCCCAAAAAATTTTCACAAACAATGCCCATGGGAATTCCATTGGTATTTTGGATCCGATATTCTGATCATGAAATTACTCATCACAAGCTGCGTGTGTCTGAACACGTTTTTTTATACCCCCAAAGAAGCATTTCAATATTAGGAGAATAATTGCAAACAGCATTTTGAAGTTGCCTATTTTAGGTCAAACACGGCCAATCTTAGCCAATCTTAGATACCCTGCAAAAAATGCCAAATTCTTTGCTGGTGAACGTAGATATTCCCATACCAAAAGACTAAAGGATTAAAGTATATATCCAGCTATGACCCATAGGATCCATGGTGCTGGTATATATGCTAACATTGGGGGTATATTTATGGGATCCATGTTACCATATATAGCCATGGATCCTATGGGTGATGGGCCCCCCCCAAAGAGGAGGTTTTTAGACCTGACAGCACCACCATTGACAGCTCACCTTCCCTGCTCCGGGAAATTTGGATCCATGGCTGGAAATTATGCCGTGAATCAACAGCGACCGTTGCAACGCTTGAACGAAAATCGTGGTCCCCGTGGTGAAATTATAAACAATAATATGGATGAAATCATGGCAGAATTAGAACACACTGTCAACATCATGGAAATTGAAATAGTTGTGGTCTAACTACTGGTTGGTGGTTGACCTACCCCTCTGAAAAATATGAACGTCAATGGGAAGGATGACATCCCATATATGACATGGAAAATAAAAAATGTTTGAAACCACCAACCAGTCATGGTCTAATTATCTTACTGATTGTTCGTTTGCCATTGCACATGACGTGTTGAGTGTTGAGCGCTGGAACATTCATCCGAGACTTGTCGTCCGCGGAAATATCTGCCAATTTTGGAGCCATCTGACAAAACAGTATATATAAAACAGTCACCTTTTTGGTGCAGTGTCCCTGGAACGTAGCATACGTAGTTTCTCGGTTGTTTTGGATGATCTGAAGCTATGTTGTTGTGAATATGTTGCACCAAGAGGGCCCAGGTCTAAGTGAGTCTATAAAGCCCATGAATACTCTAGTTATATGTATAATAAACCATAGTGAAATTGGAGTAACTAACTTAGCTATCGTTTGGGGGCCCCACTTAGTGAGTCTATAAAACCCATAAACCACACTTTTTGTCGAGTTGTCAAAAAATATGAAAAAAACGTAACTTTGCTGACTACCAACTCCCCTTCTACATAGGACACAGATCCTTCGCCACCATTGACTTGGCTATGCTATGGCTGCTATGTGGCTCTGTTGGATTTGAAAACAAAGTATGTTACATATCCTACAGGATGGGGCCCCCAAGATAGCGTCCAGTTGCCTTATAAATGGCTGAATTCTATGGTTTATGGTAGATATCTTAGATATAACTAACTCGTTAATGGGGGCTATAATGGTTAATAAACCAACAAACATCACTGGGGTGCCTCATCCTGTTTGAGATTGAGTCATTTTTTTTTCATTGCCAACCCTAGATTCGTTCTAAATGCCATTGTGTTCAGTTCTATTTTTAAAAAAAAAAGGATAAAGCCGTGCTTCCAGGATGTTATAAGTGAATACAAGTGATGTTTCCTCCATAATGTCCAGGTTTCCAACTGTTCTTCCAATTTTTGGGGGTTGGTATACTGTAATCAAAAAAACAGTTGAATCGCAAACGCTTTAGTAGTACTTTAAGGGAGCCATAACACGTTGACTAACGGTTTGCTGTCGAAAATCACCATGTTCTAACAGTTTTAAGAGGTACCTTAAAACATCACAAATCATCTATTCAAATAGGCCATCGTTTCCAAAGCTATGTTCAATAACCAAAGGGTGTCTAACATTGTCAGCTGTGACAGACTTTAGACCCGCGAGCATCTCATATAGGAATATACATATTATATATCAGCCATATTATATACCATTAATCATATATCATATATCTGGGTAAATTATATATAATATTTCACTAACCTGAATCTTGCGGCCATTTGGGGATGATTTCCCTAAAATAAACCATGATTCCAGGCTTCGGTCGAACAGTGAGGTCGTGATGAAATTTACCCAGATATATCTACATACATGTCCTGTGTCTGACAAAAAACCAGGTGTTGAGGCAAATACCCTCTGGTAATTTAACATAACTATGGAAAGATCCGCCATTTTTAATGGGAAAATCCACTATTTCAACTGGGCCATTTTCAATAGCAAACTGTTAGTCATAACCAGAGGGTACACAGCAGAATGTCCAGTTGTTCTCATCTTTTCAGACCGCACACATTTCAACCAGTTCAGCTGACAGCGGCTAACCTGCGATGCGTTTTGTGGCTGGGGATGAACTGGGGATTAAGAATGGGAATATGTATAGATATATAACAAACAATATGGAACGGTGTTTTTCAAATCTCAATTTAAATGTAAACAATATGTATAATTTATATAATAAAGCATTTTGTTTGCAACCAAGCTGCTAGACAAGTGCTGTCAGTATAGTATATGTTAGTCAGTACTGAAATCGTTGAAACAGCATGAAACCTTGGCGATAAAAATACGTCGATGATTCCACCGAGTGCTAATTTGTGACTTGTCCACAATAGAAATATCGACTTGAAAACAAGTCAATGATTTCTCCGTTGAACTCTCAATGAAACAGGACAACACGCACAATCACAGGTTGCAACAGAATAATGCAGGAAATGTGGAGATTCCAGCGATTCCAGTTGCTGAGTTGTGCTGATGGCAGCGTTATCTTCTCCAGCAATGTTTGGTATCTCTTCCAAAAATGCTACAACCGCTGTAAAGACATATGCCGTGGTCAAAACAAGTACGCACTATTAGGTAGATGGATGTCATCCATCTTCAAAATGTATAGATCCCTATGAAAATGGATTGATGACCATCCCCCAATATGCTTGTGTAATCCATCCTTTGTCCAATGGCACATATGCATACATATGCCATCAACCTCGCAATCACCAAGGACTACAGTGATATACAGTGATTGCCTACCCTCTTTAGTGCTACAAAGCCATACAAGTTGCGTTAACCCCCACTTCTATTCCGGATTCACAGGATTTCGCCGCAGAAAACCATGGCTTTTAAGTGTTTTTTGCTTCAAACATTGGGAAACCTTGGGATTCCTGGACATGTTCCCTTATGTCGGATCCTCATCTTTCTGCTCCAAAATCTATTATTTTCTCCTTTTCGTTACAGTAAAATTGTATGATTTTCTCCGTTTCCCCCCTTTTCTATGATTTTCTCCTTTTCGTTACTGTAAATTGCCAATGATCGTGAACGTTTCCCATCAAGTTCCGAAAAAAAACAAAAAAACATAAAATCCCCATTAGTTCCATTAAATGTCAATTACATGTCCAACGATTTCTTGGTTAAATCCCCAAAAACGCACCTCTTCGTCTCTACCGAATCCAACAGATTTTGGGGCACGGCATGGTTCGACCTGGTGGGATGCAGCGGGATTCGGGGTGTATCCTATTTCACGGCGTTGAACAGCGGTATCCTTTGTATAACTGCAGGGGTCATGATTATAATTTATAAAAAATTATAAATGATATTCTGGTAATTAACATTAATTAACCAATTAACTTATAATTTATAAATGATATTCTATGATATTCTGGTAATTAACATTAATTAACCATAATTAACCACTCAAACGTGGCAAGTGAAAATTCTCCATAGCCCATTAATAAAGATGATAACACCTTCATGTATAGGGGATGTTCCTGCCACGTTTGATTACCAGAGGGGTGTATAATTGGGGAAAATTTCCTGCTAGCCATGTTTGATTGCCGGAGGGTAACATATTTTATTTGCAGACTGGGTCAAGCATAGGCTACCAACAGACCCAGCAAAAAATACTGATTTCTGTGTTTCATGAACTGTGTGGGGTCCTTTAACATCCTTTCACAATCAATACTGTAGTAAGTTTGACCCATATGGGGTGAAAACCTATGAATGAGTACCAAAAGTTTGGGTGAAGAACCATCCATTAACCAACCATTTTAGATTGACCCACAACCATATTCACATGTTTTATTCTTCCAGCTAAATGGATAAGGCTTAACCCCTTTGGCTTGCCATCAATCTGTCAGATCCCTGAGTTTGGATGCTCATCATCATTCATCATCATATCACGACACCATGACTCTGCAACCAACTGAGGCACGAAACATGTCCCTATCCTATCCCACTACAACTATAGCAATTCCTATTCCGTGTATATGATATCACCGAGAACCCAGCATTTTTTTCACCACTTGTGAACAAAACCCATCAGTTGTTTTTTTTTTTAACTTGCTTGGCCTCCAATCGAGCTTCCGCTTTCCGGCCAAGTTACCAGGAAGTCATTCTTCCAAGCCATTTGCCTGCCTGGTAGCTCCAGGGTCATCGAAGAATTTCCAAAATAACGCATCTGAGATCCATCAATGTGCTAAACCCAATGCCATAACACCATCCCAACAAATCACCATCGTGGCTGGTATGTTTACCATCCCCAAATCCACAGATGCGTTGTGGCTGGATTCCGAACAGCTTCTTTGAGGCTACTGGCGACCGTCCCGGGATCCGACAAGCATCCACACTTTTCACAATGTCTGCGGGCGAAGATTATGATTAATTTGAATGCTGATGCCCTTCATTGAAGATGCAGAAAGCTGGATATAGCTTGATTCTTAGCAGTTGTCCCACATACTCCTCCATTTTTTCATGCCCGAAAAAGCACACCATAACTTCGGCAGTGACCAAACCATAGAAATCACCTGCGGGACTAGACCCTCCTTGGTTCACAATCCCACAATATGCATCTGCTGCACTCCCGAAATTCGATATGGCTTTGGATGATGGCCCAGTTGTGTTTGTTGCTTTAGAAACCGATCCAACTATAGATTTAATGTTACCAAACAAACATAGTAAACCTAGTGAATCAAACCAACTTAGCCAAGTATAAAGGGCAGTTCCTGTAGTTTTAAGTCGTCAACATTTGGCGGTAATACCATGGCAGAATACAGCATTGTCGTTCACAAACTGAGGCGTCTTTGGGATGTTTCTCGATATAAATCACAACTTATATCAATTTATGGCGTCGCTGGCTTGGTTTAAAACATCTGTTTGGCATTTTTCTATCGACTTGTACCATTCAGTATATATATATAAATAAATAATAACCATTCCATATTAATTACAGGAAAGCAACTATAAAAGCAAAGTTTGATACCATATATTACTGTAAGATTCGCATATACATATATATATATATTATGGTATCAACTATTAAACCAAATGATACCATAGATTGATTCAAGTTTCAACAGATACGTGGATGATGGTGGCATCCTGCCGTCCTGCTCCAAGTCTCCCAGTTCTGTGTAGGACTTCACCAGCCTGGAGTAAACCAGGACGGGAGAAGTGGCTGTCACTGTCAGTTGATGTCACTGTTTTTTTTGTTTATGGATGGTAGATACAGATGCTCAGCATACATATATATATAATAGGTACTACAGTTTTACAGACATTGTGATATGATGTGATATGATATGATATGATGATATGATTGATTTGGATGGAAGGAATCATCAGGGAGAATCCCCAAGATAGCTGCTCGGCGACAGGTGTAGAGATGCTCGGCAAAATTCATAAATTCTTCATTGTTCATGGTAGACATATCAAAGTAGCCCAAGTAGTCAGATGGGGCAAGCGAGATCATGGAGAACTGCCAGGGTAGAAGGTAGGAACTAGTCACGTGGCGGCAATGGCGGAACTGGTACAATCCGCGGACACCGAAAAAACGTGGCAGGCTCGGAAATCCATGGAAATCCTCTATCAATGTATCAATGGAGGTTTTGAGTGGGGAAAAACAACGAAAATTACTTTACTTCGAGTGATCCCCACCATGACATTTCAAAACAGCTTGTTGACACCACTTTTGTCTATCTGGCATATCTTCTGGCATATATTCTGACATATCTTCTGGCATTCTATCTGGCATTCTATCTGGCATTCTATCTGGCATATCTTCTGGAATATCTTCTGGCATATCTATCTGGCATACCTTCTGGCATATTTTCTGGCATTCTACCTGGCAAATCTTCTGGCACTCTATCTGACATTTTATCTTCCTACATGAGGTCCGGCAGGGAACACTTGGCATGGATACTCGCGGTTGAGGTCCGGCAGGGAACACTGGGCGTGGATGGCCGTGGTTGAGGTCCGGCAGGGACCACTGGGCGTGGATGGCCGTGGTTGAGGTCCGGCAGGGAACACTGGGCGTGGATGGTCGTGGTTGAGGTCCGGCAGCGAACACTGTGGATCGCGAGTCGCAGTTGAGCAGGAGGACGAGGAGGACAACGAGGACGACGAGGACAACGAGAGGACGACAAGGATGACAAGGAGGACGAGGAGGACGAGGAGGAGAGGAGGAGGAGGAGGAGAGGAGGACGAGAGGAGGACGAGGCAGGAGGAGGAGGAGGCAACTGACATAAAATCTAACAACCCTCACCTGGCAGGTGGGGAAAAATGGTGGATTCTTCACCATGTGTCATTACCGGAAGGGTTTTTTCCGAGGTTTCTTGATTACTTTTCAAGTGAGATATGTCGTAAACTCATCAAGACACAAAAAACACCAGAGAAAAACACACTGGTTGGTGGTATACCTACCCCTCTGAAAAATATGACTTCGTCAGTTGGGATGATGAAATTCCCAACTGAATGGAAAAATAAAATTCGTGTTCCAAACCACCAAGCAGCAGTGTATATGGCTGAAATCCATCATAGAATTCGCAAAAAAATACAGGTTTGTCGTGTAATAAACCAAGTTGATCCACTTGATGGGTGGTTGGGAGGTCGCTTGCATTTTAACGTACGATGTGGGACCTGCCAGTTATGGTTGTTGGTTCAACCACCCATCTACAACCAACTAGTCTTATAAATACACCTTCAATCTCGGAAACCCCGTTATGCTTGTTGGTTTCTAAACCCCATGATGTATATATTTATATATATGTAATATCTACCAAAAACCATGGATTTTGCATCGTAAACCGAGTGGTCAAAAATACATAGAAACCACCAGTCACCATCTAGTAGACCAAAAATCTATCCAATCTATCAAATCTATAGTCACCATATAGTACACACATGGTAAACCTCTACCAAATCGACCATGGTTTTTTTGCGGCCTTTGCGCAGTCACCAGGGCCCCGACGCGGTGTAACATCTTGCTTGTGGTTCAATGCCCTCACCTGCGCATGTTTTTTTCTGGTCAATGGAATGGTTTTTCCAGGAAAATCTACTGGTTTAAGCCCCATGATCTTAATGGGAAAATCTATGGTTTCCGGTTTCAATTTTCCCTTAAACCAATCCAATCAGTTTGTGGTTTTAACCATCTTGAAAAATATAACTTCGTCAATGGGAAGGATTGTCCCATATATGAAATGGAAAATAAAAAATGTTCCAAACCACCAACCAGTTTTTGTTGATGCAAGTCAAATCACAAGTGTTGTGATGTGCCATATATATGTGCCATATATATATATGTACATATATACTCTATATATATATATATAATTTAGTAATATATGTATACATATGTATAGCTATGTATAGCTTCTGTACGTATGCCTGGGAAAGAATTTCCAACACCTTACCGTAACAAACGCTGAAGAAAGTTCTCATTGAAGTCCACCAACTCGCAAATCCAACTGACAGGTACAGTAAGTTTGTTTGTATCTACAAGGTGGTGCCCCCCAAGTTTAGCTAAGTTGGTTTATAATCCCATGAACTATAGATATATCACCTATAAACCATAGTTATTGGAGTTATAAACCATAGTTATCACCATGGGTTGGTAAATGACCCATTTTGAGAATCTTGGACATCACCTTCTAATGGTCAGGAAAAAGAAGATAAACCTAATGGCTGGGTGATGTTCAATGGCTGGACATTTAATGACCCATGTTGTATCTAGGCTACCCTCTGGTAATGACTAACATAGCTATTGAACATGACCATAGAAATAGTTGATTTTACCATTAAAAATGGTGATTTTCCATAGCTATGTAAACGTTTACCAGAGGCTATTTGTTGGCATTGGGGTAAATATATCTACACTTCGATAGGTCATGGATCAATGTTTATCCTGTCTTTGCCATCTTAACAATCATTGTCTATCTACTCTATCTACAAGATTCATCCAATATAATATACTTACTATCTGCCAATTATAGCTTAAATCCTTTCGGTGCTGCTCCAATTGTCATTCTAGGAGGTGAATTGTCTATGTTTTGTGGCTACAGAATCGATTTCCGCTATCTTTAACCCTCATTTACATTGGAAAAAAACAAAAACAGACACATGTGAAAACCAACCATTCACATCCACCCCTACTTGGAGCATCTCACTTAGTAAGTGGTTAGTAGCTGTGTTTTTTTATATCCCCGATTCGTGGGTTATCCCATCTATATAGATGGGTCATGTTACAACTATGCTTACTAGCCAGTTACTACCCTCTGGTTATTTAACAGTTCGCCATGGAAAGATCCACCATGCTATTAATAGGTAAACCATCTATTTCTATGGGCCATCTATACCATGGCTATGTTAGTCATAACCAGAGGGTACTCATTGGGTTGATCCTCCATGAAGTACCTCAACATCCCAACACACCCGTCGAGGAAACGCCGCACCGAGCATTTGCTCAAGCCAGTTCTCCGCTGCAGGCAGATCATTGGCATTCACGTGGGCTAAGAGAACCTGGCAGCCAGGACCCGAATGGTGGGGTGTTGGTTGATGGGGATGTTGATGCAATGTGGTGCCCCAGTTCGGAATCGCTAAGTTGGGGTTCACATAACTCCAATAATTTGGGTTAAGTTGGGGTTCACATAACTCCAATAATTTGGGTTTATGGTAGATATACGGAACTACTTAATGGGGGTTATAAACCAACTTATAACTGGGGGGGCACCACCGTGTGGGGATGTTGATGGGGATATAGTGGCATACATGTATTCGGTATGTAATGTATCGTCTTTAGTTGATATAAGTCAGATTGCCGGCAGCCCCCCCCAAACCCCACCATGCTGGTGGCCTGGCCATATACCACCATCTATGTGCTATACCTATACTTACATGCTGGCCTCGTGTCACACACTACCCACAAGATACCTCCATGCAGGCTTCACGGTTCACTGAAAAAAATATGCCCAATACAGCCCATATCTATTTGCAAGCTATTATTGCCCATACAGTATCTTGATAGTAGCCATGTACTAGCTACTGTCAACATTATTATCATTATTCTCATTGTTATCATTATTATCATTATAAGATGATTACCATATATTACCATTGAATTATCATCATAACCATTAATATTACCATTTATTTAAATGTCATCACTATATTTAACATAGCCATGGGAAATGACCATAAATGACCCATAGAAATAGATGGTTTACCTATTAATAGCATGGTGGATCTTTCCATGGCTATGTTAGTCATAACCAGATGGTATATTTATGGTTGGTAACTTTATCATCACTATATATCAACAACTATGTTTATCATTATTAACCATATATTAACTATATATTAATCACTATATAGGTTAATGGGATTATCACCATATATTATCATCACTACAATAGGTTAATGATGACAAATCCATAGTTATAACCATTACCCTCATACCCTCTGCTAATTTAACATAACTATGGAAAATCACCATTTAGTTCGTGATTTTTCCCATGAAAAATGGTGGATCTTTCCATACCATTAAATCTCATTAAAACCCATTAAATCACCATTTAATCACTAATAATGACCATTAATCAACATATATCAACATAAATCCATAGTTATAACCATTATTTTTATGGGATCCTTTTTTTTGATCCTCCTCCCCGGTCCTCTGCCTCAGAGTAGCTCACCGCAACTTGATCCAAGGGGAAATCATGATGTCTCCATCTGCGATGCTTCAAGCGCCGCGGGACGTGAAGACGCCATGAGTGACTATGGAAACGCCAAAAAAAAACGCCAGGGGATTATGATATTTACTGGATTTTTGATGGTTTATTGAAATATATCCTGTAATGTGGTTAAAACAATTTAATAAACCATCCATTTGGGAATGGTTATACCACCTATGTATGATATCTGGTTGGTGGTGCAATAACCATCTTGAAACATATGAGTCAATGGGAAGGATGACATCCCATATATGAAATGGAAAATAAGACATGTTCCAGTCACCACCAACCAGATATCAATCCTGGATTGTTGATGGATTTTTGATGGTTTATTAAAATTTATTCATGGGATTTAATGGGATTAATAGGATTAGAATCAACAAAAATCTGGCGGCGAGGGGTTAAGCACTGCGAACTGCACTCACCTCAATGAACATTGGATATCGTTTGATTAGAACCAGAGAAGAACTCGACTTGAACTGGTCTGGTTGCAATTGCAGTAAGCTCTCTTGAAATTGGCTCATGCCAGATCTGTCCAACGAGATCTCGAAACTTGCGGAGTGGCATTCTAGTTTGCAGCAGTTCTTGGCTTGGCAGTGCGCCGAGACTTTTGGTTCAAATACATCAAGCCTAGACATCGTTCTCGGCAGAGTCGGAGGAAGAAACAGGTCCATCACCAGCATTGCTGACATGCATCTAACCGGAAAGACAAGGGGACAAGGGGCTGACCAAATTTCACAAAACCAAAACATCAACTTGCATCAAGATGCTGTTTTGTCTCTGTAGAGAGTTGCGAAAAACACCCTTGACGAATCCAAGCGGTGTTCCCAACGGACACGTAGGGAAACCATCCTGGGATATCCTGGGTCCATCTGTGCATCTTTTGATCATGAATTCTTTGGCTTGATGATATATGGTGATTAATGGTCATTAATGGTGATTAAATGGTGATTTAATGGGTTTTAATGAGATTTAATGGTGATTAATGGTGATTGACCCTCTGGCAAACAAAATAACTATGGAAAGATCCACCATTTTTGATGGTTAAATCAACTATTTCGACTGGGCCATTTTCAATAGCAAACTGTTAGTTTACCAGAGGGTAAATCTCCTGTAGGCGATCCACAATTTCGTCGAAAAAACGTCTGCAGGCTGAGTTCCCTTCAATGATTTTCCTTGGTGCAGTTCCAGTTTTAAGCAGTGAAAAAAAATAGCCATAGTTGTACGGGATATAGAAAACAACTTTATATAGGGGTTATTACCGTGGTTATTTTCATTGACAACCCCAATTGCACATTCAAGTAGGTTATATATATTATATATCCCATCATATCCCATTCAATCACATTGAATCACCATCCTTCCTCTTTATATCCATTCGTATCCACCCCAATTGCACCTTGTTGTGTGGTAGTCGAACCTGGCCTCCTGGAAAAATATTAACCCCTAGTATCCAATAGTATTACATAGTATATACTAACCATTCTTCAACATTACATTTGCCATTCTCCAAACTAACCATTAAATAGTATCCCACTAGTACTAGTGCTATTCATCCCCATTCAATTCATATCTAGTACTATGCATTACTAATGGATATTAAAATAGTAATCAAAGCATTTTTTAATAGATTGGTTCAATCAATAATAGCAATTAATATCAATGAATGTGTCACGATGATTGATTGATATCAACTGGTTGGTGGTTGACCTACCCCTCTGAAAATATGAGTTCGTCAATGGGAAGGATGACATCCCATATATGAAATGGAAAATTAAACATGTTCCAAACCACCAACCAGATATTTACTGGATTTTTGATTGATATTTGATGCTTTATTAAAATTTATTCATGGGATGGGATTAATTGGATCTACTAGAATTCACCATTTTTTTCACCAGTATTAACCATTAATAACCCCTATCCCCATTAATAATCCCATGTTCCAAACCACCAACGCTGCGCCCAAAAAAACACCCTGCGCCTGGCGGCACGTTGCATGTGATCCACCCAGAACTCGGCTGCGTCGGCGAGGCCGCCGCGGGCCAACGCGTTCCTTGGGCGGTTGGGCGCCGGCTTCGTTGGTCCGGTGATGGTTGGTTCAGGGCGTTGGTGAATGGTTAAAGGGTGCCTCGTTTTATATGTTTTAGTTGGTAGAAGTTAATAGATAGCTTAGTCAATAGATATATTATTCTATGAATCATAGATAGTAGATGTAATTAATACTGTAGATGATTGATAGAAGAATCGATCAATTATTGTTGATTGATTTTGATTAAATTTGATTCATAGGTCACTTTTATATGAATCAACATTAATCAACATCTTAATTAAGAATAAAACGATTTGTAAAAAAATAGTTATTGAAAAACATGTATCATATATATCTAATGAGCATCACTTGTTAATAGATGTTTAATAGATGAAAATGTTTATCAATAACGATGATCAATAGATTATTATGATGGTTACCTATAGCCTATATCTGATCAATATTGATTAACGTTGATTAATGCTGATTTTCATGGTGGTATCATAGTGTTTTTTCATGGGATATATGACCCTGTTAATTAGGCTATAGCCCTCGGTAATCAAACATGGCAAGCTGGGCATCCGCTGGAAATCCCATATATCAAGCTGGGAACATCATCTATCAATGGTGAATTGTCCATTGCCACTGATTCTGAGAGGGGAGTCTATACATATCTATATATACGTGTATATATACATATATATGAAGAAATAGTAATAATGCACTAACCTAAAATGTTGGGACACCCACTCCTAACCATCATTTCAAGTGACGTGGCAGTGAGGGCGTTATAAATATATATATATGGTTAATAACTATTGGGATTGTTCTTAATTAAAACTTACACCTCATATGATATGTTATTCAAGGTCTTGAGATTATTTTGTCTTCATGTACTTATTTTATGATTATCTATACGAGCTATAGTCAAAACATGTTTTTGTGGTTTATGGTCAGTCATCCGACCAAAACGAATAGGATTCCTGAATATTCCTTACAATGTAAATATAGATCCACATGAATTCAATGGCCATTTCACCTAAATTAAAAATACATAGCATATGTAATGCCTGTTTTTGATGGCTATTTAAGCTGGTTGGTGGTTTCAACCCCTCTGAAAAATATGAGTGCGTCAGTTGGGATGATGACATTCCCAATATATGGAAAGTCATAAAATTCCATGGTTCCAGTCACCACCAACCACTTACTAATAATTCACAATTATTATCCAGTATTAACCATGAAAAAAAGCCAGTTACTAATTACTCACCATTTTTGAAGGCTACGTATATAAGTGAATTAATATGAAAGTCAGTTGACATTCCCAATATATGGAAAGTGAAAAAAAAGAATGTTCCAAACCACCAATCAGTAAGTGAATTTTCCACAAAATATGGTTTTTGAAATGGTACAGGACCTCCAATGGATCGGTCTTTTTCTTTTGGCAACCGACCATCCCGCAAGGGGAATAGAAGCCACTTGGCACGTATGGGTTTGTCTGAACATTTAAGGAACACATGAAGGTTACCCTCTGGTAATGACTATAACAGTTTGCTATTGAAAATGGCCATAGAAATAGTTGATTTACCCATTAAACATGGTGATTTTCCACAGTCATGTTAGTTTACCAGAGGGTATTTCCTGAAAATGAAAATATGAAAATTGCCATTTCCCTAATGAAAACGGCCATGTTAATGTTATTTTCATAAGGACACCATCATTTCAGGATGCCTTTTCCTTAATGAAAATGGCCATTTCCGGTTTCAGCGAAGACCGAATTATCTGTCATCCCAGCAAGTAAGAGCCCAGAAGCCATGGTCAATGAGGGATGGCTCATATATCGTAGAGCTCTGGTTCTAGGGTTCTAGCTGTAGCCACCATTTTTTCCAGCACGATGGAGCCCAAAAGTTCATAAGATAGCTCAATGAGGTTCAATGGCCATTTCAGGAACCTAAATTGGAGGTATCTACCATATATAAGGGCTATGTAAGGACTATGTAAGGGAATATCCCCACCAAAATATGGCCTTATTGATCAGTGGCATCAAACATGGCACGTGCTCAGAATCTAACTACATCCACTATTTCCAGACACACCCATATTTTTGCAGATTAGTTTTGGTAGTTTGGGTCTAATTTATATGTGTATATTTACATACTTATATTAGATATACACATAAATCACACGTAATCATATATACACAATATAGGTTATATACATGATGGTACTGTCTTTTACGATGTACGTCATATATATTTACTTATATAATCTCATATAGGTCAAACATTGGAACAATGGGAATGATATGGCTATGCATCTAAACCCTGGCACCCTAGGTACCCTAAGTCATAGCTGGTCAATGTATGGATATTCCCCAAAATATGGTAATAAAAATGGTTTTGACATGTTTTCACCCATCGCCATATCATAGCAATATGATCATTATAGCTATTCTTCCTATTATTAGTATTACTATTACTACTATTACCATCTTGGGGCAAAAAGGAGGTTACATGTGTCCCACTTTTTTTCATTGTTGGTTCCTAGAGGATCGCCGATTTGAAGAGGACAGAAAATTTCCAACCCTTAATTGGCATTGTCATTGCCAATCTTAGATACTCTGCACACGATTAAATTCTTAGCTGGTTAGTTGATAATTATTCCATATTATAATATTGTTCCTATTTATAGCAAAAGATTAATGGACTAGTACCCCTACCCCATCCAGTTGGTTGACCTAGTTGTCTATGTTAGTTGGAAGGCAACAGTTCAAGTTGGCTGGCGCCTCAAAATGGGGGTCGGATAGGCCGAAAACAACCTGGATACGGTTTCTGGTTTCTGGAGTTGATTATAGGATTGAAACTAAGTAATATAAGCATATATAAGCCATAATCAACACTGGTTTCTGGTATGCCATGGAGTTTCATAAGTATGCCATGCAAGCATGGCTCGGCCTGCATGGAAAAGCATTACTTGGGATTTGAACCAGCGAATGGGAACTGAAAAACCTCGAAGTGTATGCTTTACTAGTGGTTGTAAGATTGTTGTATGCACCCAAGAAAACAGACAGGGTTTGGCACTCACGGACTGGCGTTAGTTCTGGATAGGGGAAGTCTAATTCCCACCGCCCCGCCCCCAGTGATGTTCGTTGGTTTATAAAGCCCTTGAATAATCTTGAATATTGCAGATATATACCTACCATAAGTCCTATAGTTATTGGAGTTGTGTTCACCAATGTAGCGATTCCCAACTGGGGGCACCACCTTGTAAACTTCAGACTCCAAGTGGGCTAGCTCATTGCTTTGGCGTCATAAACCAATCGTCTGTGGCTATCTTGGGTGTGCATCCCACTTAGGCTATGTGTTTTATAACTTATAACCTACCCTCTGGTAAACTAACGTAACTATGGACAATCACCATTTTTTATGGGTAAATCCACTATAAATGGCCATTTTCAATAGCTATGTTTGTTTACCAGAGGGTAAGAGGATACCCGAGTTATACATGAGACATCCCCAGTTTGATAAAGGGCCCACCTAAACCACCTATGATTCGTTGGTTCCGACACATCCAACGTTCCCAAATAGCCACCAGTAATTCATTACACTTTGCGAACTGGTAGTTCGATGGCCTGAATTCAATGATTTACGTATTTTAAAAAATATATGATAATTTCCATAGACAATTCTTCCTGGAGGCTACTTTGATTTAAAGAAACTCACGCGCTAAGCAAATCCGGGAGTCAGCAGCATGTTGTAGGTGTAGACCTCGGCTGACAAATGCTGGCCTGATGTCCTATCATAAGCATAAGCCAAAAAAAAAAGTTGTTGGGGCCCCAAACAAGTTGGCGTTCAGTTGGTGAACATATCATAACATAACCATGTGTTTTGTGCCACCACTGGTAATCATAGCTATACCTACTTAATACCCATGGTTTACACCAGCTCTTGGTCGCCTGGAGCCGCCTTCAACCCTTGATGGTCTGAATCTGATGAGTTGAAACATGTTGAAACCATACAAAAAAAATCACCATGTTTATGGGTAGTATCAACCATCAAACATGGGGTGGTTTATTATTGTTTTAACCACAAAAAAGGGGATGTCCCAGCCACAGTTGATTACCGGGTAAGTAGGCTTCGGCATCTCCGATTTCGGGGTTATCACAATCCATTGATGCGAAATCTGGGAAAGCCAGCATTCACCAGCTCACTTCAAAATTCCATTTGTAGAAAATTGTCTTTACGATTTCCCAGAGAAAATTCCAGTTGTAAAATTTGTCCCTTATTTTCTTGTTCTGTTCCCATCAAAACCTGCATTTTCCAGCATTAATCAGCATTACCGTAGATCTGCATCCCAAGTCTTGGAATAGACTGTAGAGAATTCTGAATTAACAATCATTTTTCTATTATGGTGTTTCCCATTCTATGGTTGGTCAATGTTGGTTTTTTCCACCATTTTCCAGGAAAAACATCCATTTTCCATGTTTTTCCTATGTTTTCCTATGGTTTTCCCATTCAACACCGCCATTTTCTCAGGAAAACATAACACATCTCGCCGAGCTACATCAGGCGTGAGGCGGTTCCGCAGCAGCCGCCGCGCCATGCGTTCCGCAAGGTCGGCGTCGCCCGCCTGGCCGCATGCCTCAGTGGGGAAGATCAGGTTTCTTATGGGGCAATATGATATAACCCATAGGATCCATGGTGCTGGTATATATGCTAACATAAAGGGGGTATATTGGTGGGATCCATAGCACACCATATATAGCAGTACCATGGATCCGTCATGGGTAATGGAGAATGATAGTGGTTAATAGAGGTTAATAGTGGTTAGTAGTTGGTTTTATAGTGGTTAATGCTGGAACATGGAGGTTTATATGGGTGTATACGGTACCATAAAAATAAGGGTGGTATACTACGTAAATATAAGCCATCAACATCTGGGTGGTTTATGATTGGACTTAATAGTGATTTAATGGGCTTTCATGGGATTTATGAGGATATATACAGGATGGTGCCCCCAAGATAGCATTCAGTTGAGATATCTGAATTCTATGGTTTATGGTTGATATAACGAACTAGTTGACGGGGGTTGTAAACCAACCTACAACTGGGGGGCACCATCCTGTAGTGCAATTTCTAAATACTGGGATAGTGGTGGTAAGAGTGGTTGATAATGGATAATAATTGCTAATAATGAATAATCATGGGATAATGATGAAAGATCATAATGGCTCATGGAATGTTAATGGTGGTCAATGATGGTTGATAAAGATTGATGGTCATCTACTGGATTTTAGGGTTCCGCTAAATTTCTACCCATAAAACTGTACAAAGTCAATAGAAGATGGTGAAGAATCATGTCCCCTCTGAAAATTGCCATGTACAAAAAAGCCCTTCAAACATCATTTTCAGACACACACACAGTCTGCTTGGAGGTATCATCCCACTTAGCAAGTGATTAGTAACCCTGGTTATATACTAAGTCCACTAAGTATCTACTGTAGTTCATCCCAATAGCTGTTTTTTTGCCCATTTACTTCCCAGCTGGATCCCACCGCTTCGCTGCCTTGATCACCTGATTGTAGCAGTTCAAATCTGGCTCCAGACCTGCCTCAGCTCATGGTGGGGCCTCGTTTACGATAGGCTTATCCTACTTACTAAGTAGGTTGTAACCCTGGTTGTAAGTGGGATAAGTAGGGTTAGTCCACTTATAACTAGGGTTATAACCTACTTAGTAAGTGGGATGAGCCACCAACTAGGTGAATTTTACAATGTGGGCCCCCCAGTGATGTTTGTTGGTTTAAAAACCCCAGTAACTATATATAGTTATAAGTAGAATCAAATACAATAAACATTAATAAACCATAGTTATTGGAGTTATGTTCACCAACTGAACGCTATCGACTTCGCGGGGGCCCCACATTGTATGGTTTATGGTAAATAGATCGCACTGTAGTCGGTGGAGTTTACAGACCAACAATGATCACAATGTGGGGCCCCCTAGATAGCTAAGTTGGTTTATAAGTCCAATAACAATGGTTTATTATACTTATAACTACACTTAATGGGGTTTATAAACCAACTTATAACTGAGGGGGGCACCACATTGCAGAAAACATCATCTTTGGGATTCTTCTGGGGAGCAAAACATGGGGCCGACTGATTTCGTACGGGGATATGCGCAAAACAGCAAAAAGAGGATGATTATTGGATGTAGCCAATCATCTTGCCAGTTTTCATCCAAGCAGTTTCAAACACGACAAAAAACAGCAATGCCATTGCCGCAGGTCATATATGGAACAATATAATTAAGCCTATGCATATATGAATATTTATATATATATATATATATGAATATGTGTATATATATATATAAATGAATATGTATATATATATGAATATGTGTGTATATATATATGAATATGTATATATATATATGAATATGTATATATATATATGAATATGTATATATATATATATGTATGTGTGTGTACTGTATATACTGTTATATACAGGATCATTCGTTGCATATCCCACATGAAGACTCTGGTCTTATCCACCTGGTCGTCCGACGGCCGACGGATGACGGCCGGCCTGTTCCGCGCGAATCAACCAGCTTGTAGCACCTGTGGCATTGCCCACCTAGCGCCAGGATGCGCCAGGTCACCATCATATGGTGACTTTGAGTCTAAGCCATGGATGGGACCACCATCTAACCATCATTTAAACTGTATGTATATATATATATACGTATATATAGAGCGGAAAATCCGAGAAATAGAGGCAGCACAGAAGTAGGGTTTACACTGTCAAAACCACTGAAAAATTGAGGAAAGTAGGTTCTGGCGAGAGCTCTGGGAGGTGACCATGTGTGTGTATATATATATATATATAGGTGCAAACGTTCAAAGCCGCCCAAGGACTTCACAGCTGCCTCAACTCCTTGGAAGCAGAAGCAATCGCAGTACCCATGCGTCAGTTCAACACCAAAGGATTGCACTGCCTCTGCATATTTCAGGAACAAAGCTTTCTGACCATCTTGGTCTTCCGACCTTGCGAGGATGAAGAAGACTGGCATCATACGCATGCTTGGCACCCCCCGTTTGTCCAATCGCAGGGCCACTGGTCCGATGCCTCCCAGGCAAAGATTCTGCTGACCAAGGCTGAAGGTGAAGTCCATGACAAAGCTGGAAATGCTCATTGATTGAAGACGTTCCAAAGCAAGAGCAGAATGGAAACCGATCTGGATCTTGTCAGCACAGCAAACTGCGTCGTCCCAAACAATCATATTCGGAGGCGGTGACTTCAAGAACTCTTGCAAACTGCCCACGCAATCTGCCACTGCTTTGTCTTTCACCACCGCCCTACTCGGGCGGAAATTCTTGATTTGCCAGGCTGGAGGACGATGGCTTTCTGGAATCTCATTCTGTTCCATGAGTACTAGTGCATCCGCAGCTGAATGCTGTTGAGCATAGAGCCGGGCATTCTCCCGTCTCGCAACCACAGGATCCCTCGTCTCACCATGGTCTCCCACTTGCAGAACCTGCAGGGTGCCTCTATGGCGCCAAAAACCGTACCCTGGCCAACTAAACATATTCAGCAAGAATCATCTCAAGATGCTTATCCACATACGCATGCACTGTGGGTCTCCAATGGCATATATGTATGCATCGCCCATATATGTATCCCCCAAAAATATATTGAAAATATCCATATCTAGATCTATAATCTATCGAGCTATCCAGCTATCTATCAATCAACCTATCTATCTGTCTATCTATCCTTCAATCCATCTATCTGTTTCCCTGCAGCCTCCATGCGGACACGGTCTGGGCACATGCATCGAAACAGCCACTGCTTTGCGCAGCTCACATGCTCCTTGCATTTAGCTATGTAGCTAGTCACACGGCCCAGGGTTGAAGACATAAGGGGGCTGTGAAGTGCATTCTTTTGCTCCAGCCATCTTATGGCTGCATCCCGCACTGAGATACCGTCACCAAGCTCCACCACTTCACATGGCTGCCAGTTTTTGGATTTCCGCCCTTTGCCCATCCTTGAAGCCGTAACCACAGCTGGAAAGCACAACCTGAAAGAATAAACTCCATAGTGTATACCACATATCCGCTCCAATCAAATCAGGTGGACTAAACTCCAAAGTTAATCCAGGAGCCCACAACCAATCGAAAAAGAATTAAATCCAGAGTTAATTCCGTCCAGGACCATTATAGACCAGCAAGGCTTCAAACTATTGACTGGGAAGTTAATCGCTTCAAACTCTTGCTTTTACTCCTATTCGATTGCATTACTGTATGGTAGGTTACATACAGTCCAGAAATAAATAGATACAATGTCTGCTACTAATGATGGAAAAAAACTATACCAGTACTAATACTAGTCGAATAGGTTTACAGTAACACACTTGTGGAGGTTAATCAGCATGTGAGGGCATATGTCTATTATTCATTGTCAGTGTTCATGGTGCCTTACAGTAACCCACTAAACTGTCCGGATCTATATCAACCAATGAAACATCATACATCGTTAGCCAAAAAATGAACACCAGCAAAAGCTGATATTTGGAAGTTTCCAATCCATGGGTGTACCCCCAAATCATCTATCTATAGATGGATTTTCCATGAAATAAAGCATCCAGCTATTGGGGATCTCCTTCATCATTTGCTCGAATATAAACGGAGACCGACAGGATTTCCCCGGATCTTTTTGGAGGCTTTTCCAGGCCAACAACAAGGTGATGCGCAAAGCCATAAATGTCAATTTTGCCATCAACTTTGGGGGTTTCCCCCAAATTTTCAGACACACCCATGTCGATATCGCCCCTACTATATGCATGGTCAATCTTTGATAGACCATAGAGAATGGTATTTTTTTGCTAGTCATGGTTCTGTTCCATTTATAGCAAAACGCTAAACTGGTTGGTGGTATACCTACCCCTCTGAAAAATGATGAGTTCGTCAGTTGGGATGATGACATTCCCAATATATATATATATATATAAATAAACATGTTCCAAACCACCAATCAGCACCGTATGGAAAGTCATAAAATTCCATGGTTCCAGTCACCACCAAGCAGTAAAGGATTACCCTCTGGTTATTTAACAGTTCGCCATGGAAAGATCCACCATGCTATTAATAGGTAAACCATCTATTTCCATGGACCATCTATACCATGGCGAACTGTTAGTCATAACCAGGCCGGGTAGTTTATCTATTCAACAACTTGGCTTTTCTGTTTAATCAATTGCCATATCATATCCCCATTATATCCCCATGGCCATGTTGGTATCACAAGGATGAGTGAAACTACCGGCATTGCCAGGCATCACATCGCCTTGGCAAAAGCGCTCAGCATGGTGCCAATGGTCACCACATCCTTGGACACGGTCACGGGCGAACCACGGTAAACGCTTCGTCACCAAAAAGGCCATGGCTTTTTCCCCCAGGAATGAGCAAATATATGTCTAGTAAAGCCGCCAAAAAAAGGAAGAGAAGTTCAGTTACACTCTAAATCATTAAATATGAAAATCACTATCATTAATCACTATCATTAACCACTACGAATCATTAACCTTCATTCACCATGATTAACCACAATTCACCTTTTTCACAGCACTAACCTTTATCACAAACTTTCAATATGTGACAGAGCTTAAGTCTGTAAGCATCAACCGCCGCGATTGTCCAAGCATCTGGTGTGAGTTCCAGATCTTCCATTCCTGGGCACTGCCGGGGCTTGCCGAACTGGGGCCAGCACCGGATGGGCCCCCTGGAAACGAGCGATAGCGTTCAGTTGAGATATGGTTGTGGCTGATTTCTATGATTTAACTATATAATACTATATATACTTAGTGGGGTTTACGGGTTTATAAACCAACTTACAACTGGGGGGCACCATCCTGTATCTACAACAGTAGTTTTGACTGTTGAACCCTCCAGTTACAAGTAACTAAAGGTCCGAAACTATGGTATGGCTAACCATTGGCACGTACGAGAACTGCCGGGCTTATGTCAGTATACGTAGCAATATGCTAGGCGATGGTATCCGATCATCCGATCCTGCTAATAACAAGACCATAATTGGCATGTCAACAATCCAATTTGAACTATGAAGGAAAACTGTGATTCTGTTTCCTCCCCAACGAACGTGCCAGCAACCCTCAGCAGCTCCCAGCATAACCTGCCAAGCATCGCACAAGAACACCTTCAGCTCCTTCAGTGTCGCCATTTCCAGCAGCTGCGGACATCAAGATATTGAAGCCTGGATATTCAGGGCCCCGGATGGGTCAAAACAATGGATAGAATAGGATATACTGTATACTTGTTGGATATTGATGGGTATGGGCCTATATAATGGCAATACGTAATGTATTCAGGGCATGTACAATTCCTCACATTCGAGAAGCTCCACCAAAGGCAGAAACGTCCAGCCTGAAGTCCATGACACTGAATAAGAAGAGCTTGCCATATCTTGTCTCAACCAACCCAATCTCAGGGCTAGGAATTGGTCATTCTCATCCTGTCTATATTTTTCCATCTATCTATCTATCTATCTATCCATCTATCTATCCATCTAGAGATATGGAGATACAGAGATACAGCAAGAGAGAGAGAGAGAGCGAGAACGTCCAGCAGCGCAAAACACACTGGAAACAGACTCACCACACGTAAAAAGAGGATTTGGCATTCCCATGTTAGATTACAGGTATCCATCTACCCACCGTTGCTAACCTTCGATACTTGGTTCCAAGTAGCAATTGGCTTGGTTGACACAAAAGCTCGGAGTCAAACCTTCAATGTTCAGAACTTCAGAACTTCAGTATTCCTCAATGTTCTATCATTTTCAAAAACCTGGGTCCATATTATATCCCTTTTATCCATTTTTATTCCCTATTGATCTATTGTTTATGGCCAAATCCAATTAAAATCCCAGCAAAATCCCATGAAAGACTGAAAAACCGCTCTATGAATCGAGTTAACCAAGATTTTCAACTAATCTACTACCCTCTGGTAAACTAACATAGCAATGGAAAATCACCATTTTTGATGGGAAAATCCACTATAAATGGCCATTTTCAATAGCTATGTTAGTCATTACCAGAGGGTAATCATATTGTCCCTAGTTTATCCATTGACACTACTTCTGACAGAATTCTACCACCAAAAAGGATGTCATTGGGCTCACCATACCATGACGTCGATTTTCAGTGCTGCCCTGTACCATGTGGTGCCACCACCAGTGATGTGAACGTTGATTTATAAACCCCATTAGTTATAAGTTATAAGTAGAATATATAAACTATAGTAAAATTGTAGAAATTGTAGTTCTGTGAACCCCAACTGTATAGAATAAACTTTTTCGTGAAATTGTAGTTCTGTGAGCCCCAACTGTATAGAATAAACTTGTTCGTGAAATTGGAGTTCTGTGAACCCCAACTGAACGCTATCGACAACGGAAAACCACATTGTATATAGTTTGGTCTACGCATATTGGCTTTTTAGTGACTACCCTCTGGTAAACTAACATAACTATGGACAATCACCATTTTTCATGGGTAAATCCACTATAAATGGTCATTTTCAATAGAAAACTGTTAGTTTACCAGAGGGTATCATATCATTAACCATTATTATAACCATTATTATCAATTATTCACCATCCATTCACCACTCTTATCCACTATTAACTATGGAAAATCACCATTTAAAATAAAATGGATAAATCAACTATTTCAATGGTGATCCAATGGTGATCCCCATTGTTGCTTGAGATCTCCATGAAACAACCTACGAAGATCCGCCATGCGGAGCGCCTACGACCTCAGGTCTGAAGCCCGCATCCATCATCACACGGAACCTGGAGCGCAAGATCTTCAGAAGGTCTTTCTTTTGCATACAGATATGAAATTGTTTGTAAACATGTATATATATATGTGGATATGTATATGTATATGTATATGCACTAGCTGTACTCTATATATATATATATATATATATGTATACGTATGTTTTTTTGATATCGCAATGTTTAATGATAACAAAAGCAAAAATAACTGGTTGGTTAAAAGGGTTTCTGCAAACCAACAAGCAAAATACTGCATACTGCTTACTCTGGAACAGTATATGAACATATATGAACCATGATCAACCCCTGGCTTAACCCGGGTGTGCACAATTTTCTGAGCAAATGAAATCAATTTCTGCGGTTTTTCGCAACTTAATCTACCTCCAATTCATCTACATTTTTGGTGAAATCCAAAGTTTGTTACCCTCCAGTCATCTAACCCAGATCCACCATTTATAGATGTTCATTAATCTTCAAACTGAGACCTCCTTGTAGTTCGAGGATTTCCCCACGTATTTGCTATCCAGTCATCGGATCGAAAAGCAGTCATGAAGTCTTGGAGCTATCCAGTCATCGAGCTGCCAGTTCCGCCCAACGTGTCTCGGTTTTCTTGACTTACTGGTATTGCCAATGTTTTGGAGATTGAGTTTATATTGGGTTAATATTGGGTTATAATGACCATTATATACTTGCTGATGCTTAGTAGGGAATTTTCGGGAACGATCCACTGGCTAATTATCAATTTCATCATCATCCCAGCAAGCCCCAGCAACCCATCCAGCAACCCTACGTGTTTAACGCACCAGTAAGATCCAGTAAGTTGAGGAGGTTGAAGACTTGAAACGCTTCATACCTAGCCTAAACGCCATGGTATTGTCCCGACTCAATTGGACATTGTATATAACCAGTGCCCTTGTAGATGTCAGCTATGTCACCAGCGCCGCATCTAACTTGACGCGAAAAATGCATTGGTCGAGGCGCACTGGAAAAACCAGCTGCCAGAAATGGGTTTGTCCATTTACTTTCGGCTGTCCCTTTCTCTCTCTCCCATGAGTCAAAAATACTCATGGATTCTCTACTCGAATTACCAGAAAAAAGGGGGTATACCACTTGGTTTAACCAACTGTGTTTGATTGGAATTTACAGTAATGAAATATCATGAAATATCCCCACGATATTCCCAGTCAATCCAATCAAATCCCCATTTGATTTTGCAAAATCACGATTGACTGTTTGGTAAATGAAGGGATCAACCAACCAACAGGCTCATTGAATCATCTACAATGTGAGCCCCAGAAACGGTAGTTAAGTTGGTGTATAACTCCAATAACTGTGGTTTGTAGCTATAGTATGCTATAGTATTCATTTGGTTTATAAACCAACATTCACATCACTGGGGGGCACCACATTAGTAGAAACTGGGATTGAAAAACAAAGTGGCAGGGTTGAATCATTCAAGGTGGAGTTTGGCACATATGCACACCTATATGATCTGAATCTACTAAAAGAATTCACATACCCTCTGGTAAACGTTTACATAACTATGGAAAATCAGCATTTAAAATGGATAAATCAACTATCAATGGCCATGGCTTCAATAGCTATGTAAACGTTTACCAGAGGGTATCATATCATTAACCATCATTATAACCATTATTATCTATTATTCACCATCCATAAACCACTATTAACCACTATTAACCACTATTAACTATGGAAAACCACCAGTTTTAATGGCTAAGGCTAAGTCCACTAATTAAGAAAAACATCACTTCTCTTGTGGTCACCTGAATTACGGCCATTTTTTGGGATGACTCCCCTGATCCGTTCACCATCATTCCAGTGATGGTTTTCGCGACGTGTTTGGTGGTTGTAATTTATCAACCCTTAGGGGCATATTGAGCCAAACCATTCTGGGGGGATAGCATCATATACTACCTGGTAATTATGATATGTTGGTTACTTCAAATGATACCCTCTGGTCATCTCACGTAGCATGAAAATCACAATGATTAATAGGTAAATAATATTTTTTAAAAAAACATTAACATCTATTTCTGTGGGCCATGGTTTCCATAGCTATATAACAAATAACCAGAGGGTATTCATCACTTCCCATTATAGTTCCATGATTTTCGAATCAACAGTCCCAGTTTTAGTTACATGATATTCACATATTATTCCCATGGCTTATAATGTGGGTAAAACCATAATCACGCATCCCCCAGTTATCACCATCTTTATAGGTGGTATGTTTACCATTCCCAAATTAGGGTGGTTAATGGCATGGTTTTACCCACATTAGATGGGTTACCCACTGGTAAACTAACAGTACGCTATAGAAAATGGCCTATTCTTTTCGGTGATTTACGTATCAAAATGGCTGGTTTTCCAGTTCACAAACTGTTAGTTTGCCAAAGGGTAATCATTATACATACTAACACAAACTAACCATTTAATCATTATATATCCCATTATTTTACCATCTTTTTGTGGCTATGTATCAATACCTACAAATACCATTAATCATTAATCGTTACATATACTAATCATTACATATACTACCATCTGGTTATTTAACATAGCCATGGAAAATTGCCAATTTATAGATGATTTTCCCAGCTAGATACCTCCATTTATGGTTGGGATTTTCCATGGCAAACTGTTAGTCATAACCAGAGGGTATATATCATATCATTAATCATCACATATTACTAACCATATAGCTATTATAGCTACTATATATATATATATATACTAACTATATAGCTATTACAGCATAGCCAAGGAGCCATGCTTCGGTTCCCTCCAGATCTCCAAGCTTGGCGTGGCTGGACATCACCTTAGGCGAGGGCCGCGTTTCGGCTGCGGCGAGCGGTAAAGATTCAGCATGGCTAATCCATGGTTAATGATAATGATGGTTAATGATGATTGATGATTAATGTGTTTTATGATTGTTTAAGGTTGGTGGTTGAGCCCTACCCCTCTGAAAAGATATGAAAGTCAGTTGGGATTATTCTCAATATATGGAAAAATGAAATTCATGTTCCAAACCACCAACAAGAAATATACAGGATGGGGCCCCCAAGATAGCGTCCAGTTGCCTTATAACTTATAAGTGGCTGAATTCTATGGTTTATGGTAGAAGTAGATATAACAAACTAGTTCATGGGGGTTATAATGGTTTATAAACCAACTTATGACTGGGGGGCCCATCCTGTAGGACAATGACGTGTATTTAATGCAGTTAATTGGGATTATAATGGGGATTCTAATGGGATATAATGAGATATTATATATACAGTATATATATATATACACTGTATATACTGCACTACAATTGTTCTTATCAGATATTAAGGGACCATTTTAAATTTAATGCATTCATATATCTCTTAATGGATTTGAATGGTATATAACCAACCGCAAATGTATATTTTTGGGGAATATAATGGAGGGGGTATTAGCCTCCGGCAATCAAACATGGCTTGCTGGAACATACCCTTTTTTTTAAGGCTTTTTCCCCAACTAGAAAGCTCCCTTTGGTTTGGGAATTTTCCAGCCAGCCACGTTTGATTCAATTGATTACTACATCGCATGGTAACAAGCTCTTCTGTTATATGGGGTTATTCTACGAACTTGACGGAAATAGATGTGGATGATCACAGGGATAATATTGAGGACATGTATATATATATATATATGTATCATTATATATCCAATAATGATGATATTAGTACACAAAACTCTCGATTTTGGGGATCATGTTCCTCAAAAACTGGGGATTGGAACCAACACAAATCGGGAGATGATCCCTGAATAATCAGGATAGAATTTTGAAACAATGGGAACATGAATGAACATTGAAACTGATACGAATGTTGGCCAACTAGAACGTGCTTGGTATTTCCATTATGAGATTCTTATTGACTGGCCATGAAATGCATGCTGGGGAGATATGCATCAAACAAATGCATTCAATCAGTTTCCCAAAATTGCTTTGAATTTTATCCTTGCAATAGAATCAATAGAAATGATCAGGCTTGGGATTTTGCCAGCAAGTGACGTGACATACGTCATGTCAGTGGTGTAACCGTTAAAAAATCCTAACCCCCGGTCATAATTATTCACACCTTCCAGAAACCATGGGGTTCAGGGGGGATCTACACATATTTACAATGGGGGGCCCCCAAACGATAGCTAAGTTGGTGAACATAAGTCCAATAGCTATGGTTTATTATACTTATAACTATAGTATTCATGGGGTTTATAAACCAACTTATAACTGGGGGGGCGCCACATTGTACACATATTTGGGACCATACAATAGGGGTGTGTTTGAACGGATAGGACGAATCCCAATGTTGCAAGGTGGGCCCCTATGTTTGTTGGTTCGAAAAAACCTATGAATACCAGTTCGTTATAGTTACCATAAAATCAATGGCCATTGCAGCGACCGAAATTGGAGGTACCTAACATAAGGCCTCAGTTTCAGGGGTACACTGCATACTGCACACTCTACACTTAAAAAACTCCACACTCTACACTGTATGTACACTTGACACTCCACACTTTTTACATAAAACACTCCATTTGGAACTTCTGCCGCTCCAAGATGTCAGGCACATCAACCCCTCAGCTGAGGGGAATTCACACCACGAAAAGCCTGGAGACCTGGAGGACCTCCAGGTTTTAGTCCCGTGGATTCCCCCTGGAGATCTGAGACCCAATGGAGTACACAAAAACCTATGATACTATGGATATATCCACCAGAAATCAATCACAAATTGCCTAGTGAACTTAACAATGTTTTTGTGATTTGTTTGATGGTAAAATCCCCTCGCTGCTCTACCATTTTTGATGCTTAAATCCGATGTTTCTCCTGGCTCGCTATGGCCACCAACCCACCAGGCACCCGACAGCATAAAAGTGTGTGGCCGCAGGCTCTAAGCCCCTTAGCTATGACTGCTGGCTCCATGAAAATGGTGATTATAAACCTAAGGGAAGCAATGAAGTGATGGGAAAATATTGAGAATATGATGGGATTTGCTGGGATATGGGAAAATTTCCCTAGTATCTTCAAATATTTGTTCGAATGAAAATGGTGATTTCCAGTATCTTCATGAATTTTTCATAGACAAATTCATCTATACATATCGATAAATTTAACTATTCCATAGCTACATCAAAATCCTTTTAACGGTTCTTGTCTGTGTCATTTCACCCAAGTACTGGATAAAGCTATGTGAGCTCTCCCATCTGGCAACAGGAAAGACGTTCCGAATGGGGACTAGGATTGCGAAGTTTTTAGGGTTTAAACTATATGATAGGGCTGCAACGGTTTGCCGAGCGGTTTTGCCGAGCGGTTTTGCCGAGCGGTCCGCTAGCGCCTGTAGCCCGCAGATATAGATGCCCTCCTCCTGAATCATTCTTCATCCAGACTGGAGAACCCCGTGCAGTTCGATCGATGCGCTAGCTAATGCTAGCTACTCTCCGCCTGCTGCAGCCAGATGCTGATCCAGCATCCAGCATCCAAATGTCTTCATCCTTCATCCTTCATTACACATTGTTTTTTATTTTATATTTTGTGATTATCATGCTATGCAATGTTCTACTACATTATATTATATTCTTTTATATTGTACCCTGGGAGTCCCGGACTATTCTTTGTTTATCCTTTTACCAGTAGTACCGCGAAAGGCGGTGGCGGAATTTTCAAAAACAGGAAACCTATAGGAGAGGTTGGTAGTTGTGAATCAGGGATGGCAGAGCGAAGCCACTGATGGACTGAAAGGTGCTTGATCTCTCTCTCTCTCTCTTTTTCTCTCTTTCTCTCCTTTTCCCTCTGTTTCTCTATCTTTCTCTGCTTATCTACCTACCTACCTACTGATCTATCTGTCTATCTATCCATCTATCTGTCTGTCTGTCTGTCTGTCTATCTATCTCCCTATCTATCTATCTATCTATCTACCTACCTATCTATCTAGCTGTCTAGTTTTCTAGCTATTTGTCTATCTATCTATTTGTCTATCTATCTATTTGTCTATCTATCTATCTATCTATCTTTCTATCTATCTATCTTTCCGTCTGTCTAGCCGTCTGAAGTTCCAAAAGTGGTCCGAACCCCGCGTGTTTTTAACAGTTTGACTTCCAAATGTGCTTCGCGCCACAACGGCGTGCACTTTTTCAACATCTCAACTTCCAAAACTGCTCGGAACCCCTCAGTTTTTAACACATGTTGACAAGATCCACAATCTCGTGCGCCTGCCACGCGAAACGACATCTGAGCCTCCAAAAGTGGTCCGAACCCCTAGTGTTTTGAACATTTTTACTTCGAAATGTCCTTCGCGCCACAACGCCGTGCACTTTTTCAACATCTCAACTTCCAAAAGTGGTCCGAGATCGGTGTGTTTTGTACATTTTGACTTCGAAATGTGCTTCGCGCCACAACGGCATGCACTTTTTCAACCTCTCAACTTCCAAAACTGCTCCGAACCCCTCAGTTTTTAACACATTTTACTTCCAAATGTGCTTCGCGCCACAACGGCGTGCACTTTTTCAACATGTCAACTTCCAAAAGTGGTCCGAACCCCCAGTTTTTAACACATTTTACTTCCAAATGTGCTTCGCGCCACAACGCCGTGCACTTTTCAACATCTCAACTTCCAAAAATGGTTCGAAAGCCTCAATTTTTAACACATCCTTACTTCCAAATGTGCTTCGCGCCACAACGCCGTGCACTTTTTCAACATCTCAACTTCCAAAAGTGGTCCGAACCCCCCAGTTTTTAACACATTTTACTGCCAAATGTGCTTCGCGCCACAACGCCGTGCACTTGTTCAACATCTCCACTTCCAAAAGTGGTCCGAACCCCCCAGTTTTTAACACATTTTACTTCCAAATGTGCTTCGCGCCACAACGCCGTGCACTTTGTCAACATCTCAACTTCCAAAAGTGGTCCGACGCTGAGGTGTTTTGTACCGTTTCACTTTGAAATGGGCTTCGCGCCACAACGGCGTGCAACTTTTCATCTCTCATCTCCCCAGATGTCTCCGCACCCGCCGCTTTAGCGAGCCTACTTTTCAACCCTCCGGAGCCACAAAACCACGAAAAAACACAGTGTTTCGCGACTTTCCTACCTTTTCGCGCACCTGCACCTTCTTTTTTCTGACCTTTTCTCTTCTGACTCTTCTCCCTGCTGACTGCTTTTTCATCTCTCCATATTGTCGGAAGTTTGACTTCTAAGCTTCCTTCGATAAAAGCCATACTTAGGCGTGACCGCCTATACTTTGGCAGTTCCGAGGTGGTACCAGCTGGCCATGGAAAGGGCTCAAGTGATGCCATATAGAAGCATGCAGAAAATATCAAGATTTCTGTCGGTGACAACATTTTTCGGTTTCATGTGGATCCTCAGTTCATGGATTTATATTATATATATATATATATTTATGTATGTATGTATGTATGTATGTATGTATGTCTGTATGTGTGTCTGTCTGTCTGTATGTATGCATTCATGTATGCATGTATGCATGGATGAATGTATGCACGTATGCATGGATGCATGCATGGATGCATGCATGCATGCATGGATGTACGTATGTATGTATGTCTGTGTGTGTATGTATGTCTGTCTGTCTGCCTGTCTGCCTGTCTGCCTGTCTGTCTGTCTGTATGTATGTATGTATGCATGCATGCATGTATGTATGTATGTATATGTACATGTATATGTATATGCAAATGTATATGTATATGTATGTGTATGTATGTGTATGTATGTGTATGTATGTGTATGTATGTGTATGTATGCATGTATGTATGCATGTATGTATGTACGTAGGTATGTATGCATGTTTGTATATGTAAATGTAAATGTATATATGTATATATGTATGTATATATGTATATGTATATATAAATGTATATATTTATATAAACATATGTATGTATGTATGTATGTATCTATCTATCTATCTATGTATGTATGTATGTATATACATATATATGATCCCGTCTTCCGCCCACGAGGTCCACCCCCCCCGAATGGGATGGGTCTCCAGGTAGCACCCCCCCTTCCCTTCTATTTGTAAGCTATTGGGAGCATTTCTGGGGTCCAGCCTCGTATTTGCTAGGTTTTTGCAGCGACTCTGACTACCAGCCTACCATTTACTAGGTACATGCTACCCTTTAGATGACCTACGTAGCACACATACTCCCTCAAAGTACCTACGTGCTACCTATAGTCATATATACATGTGCTATGTAGCTACTTCCTATATATATATATATTTACATGTTATAGATACATACATAAATATGTGTGTATATATATATTCATATTCGTATTTAAATATACATATATATATATATATATATAAATACACACACAAATATACACACAAATATACACATATTCACATATATATATGTACACATACATACATATAGGCATATACACACATATATATATACACATGTATATATATGTATATATATATATGCATACATGTTTACATACATACATATAAATATATAATAATATATATATATAAATACGCAGTACCACACCCCCACCACACCACGGGGGGGCGGGGAACATAGCTCCTGTATATCCATACCCATTCCTACTACTAACAACAACAACTACTACTACTACTGCTACTACTACTACTACTACTACTACTACTAACCCCCCCCACCCACCCACAGGGGGGGGCGGGGAACATAGCTCCGTATACCCATACCCATTGGGGGGGGAGAAGGGGGACCTGGGAGGCTGCATCATATATATGTATATGTATATATATATATATACATATGTGCATATACATATATACATATATACATGCATGTATGTATATATATATATAAGGATAATACAGCCCCAAAAATAACATCAACCATTTTTCAAACTTTTCAGACAGAGAGAACGGTTGGAATGGGGATGGATCAAACTGAGTTAGAATCTAAAAACAGTTATTTTCCTTATGGATGGTGTATCAAGGAAACAGGGAAATTCATGGTTCAAGGAATTTTTTGTTATATTTGCAAATATTTTCTTGTTTGCGTGATTTTCCCTTATTTCCTTGAATCATGAAAGTCTACACTCGGTTCGCAATACATATATATATATATATGTGCATATATATATATATATATCATATGAATATATATATATATATATATCATATGAATATATATATATGTACATATAGAAGCGCATATATACACATACATTATATATATACATAATACTGATGTATAAATGCGTAATTATAATTATATATAATTATATATATAGAGATGTTTGGATACATATGTAGCTATTTTATTGGTATACTGTACATGTATATATATATAAACGTATATGTATATATGTATACATATATATATATATACACATACTATTTACATGTTGAGTTTATCCCATCATAATTCGGTGATATTGGGTGATCTGGCCATCGCTATTTGCCACTTCCAATTCCTGGTACATCCAGATAAAACTAAGCAAAACAACAAGGGCTCAATAATCCCCTTCAAGCCCCATTAATCCGGGTTTGATGGTGACAAGTTGCCTTAGTAAGGCCTTATGATTGGTGGAGCGATAACCTGGCCTTATGATTGGAGGTCCCCGGTCTGATTTCGAAGAAATGCACTTCGTCAAGTTGCTTCTCTTCCATCCGTTTCAACCATTCTGCTGCACCTGTCTGCTGGATTTGATGAATGTGGCTGTGTTGAAAATGAGGACCACGGGATACCCCAAAATGGCCTTTTCATAAGGGCAATAACTAACCATTGGATTTGGGGTGCCCTATTAGACAAACCCATGTAGGAACTGATATCGGCTGACTTCATACCCTTATCTGAAGCCCCCCATGTTTGCAGAATGACAATGAACGACGCCACCTGAAATCTAAACTCTCACTTCGGGTTTACAACCATGCCCAGGTTTTCAGAGAGACCCTGACCAATGCACATTTTCATATGGTGTTTGAACAAAGTCGCTGGACTCTGCGCAAAACGCTCATTTAACATCCGTGGCAGTTATGAATCCAGGGTCAACATGAACTGGGAATCCTTCCAATGGATACAACTTCTAGACCACCTCCTGATTTGAATCACATCTACTGAATTCCAGCCTGATTTCTTCATCATCCCAAAATTGGTACGAAAAATCTGCTAGAAACCCTAACAGTATGAGTAAAAACCCATGGTTTCCTGTAGAGTGTTCCTTAAACCACACTCCGTTGATCATAAAAACGACCTGTTCCCCCCGTGTGCTAACGACCACGGAAAATCACGGGTTTTTGGTGCGCCAACAGGTCACAAGTCACGTGGAGAATCTTAGAGAGGCCACTAAATCAAGTTTTTTGCTGGTTACCCTCTGGTAAACCTACCAAAAACTATGGAAAATCACGATTTTTACTGGGTAAATCCACGATTTCGGCCATGGCTTCAATAGCAAACTGTAAACGTTTAGAGGGTACCTTCAGTTTTTTGCATCCCGATTTCATCCAGTTTTTTATGGCAAACAATGAAAAAACGCCAAGTTTTTGGTGGAAAAACAGCCCCTCTCCCCGCACATCACAACCGTGGTTCTTACCACTTATTAGCGTATACTTCTATAAGAGACACCCATGGTTGAAGGGAAAGTGATATATTTGGAGTTTACCAATAAAAAATATTGCTGCTGAATCTATATATATATAATCATAAATCCAAATCATTGGAGTTTATCCTAAATATTGCTGGTGAATCTATATAAATCCCTGGGTTTCCGTATTTTTTGTTTCTTTATCCTATTGAGATCCCATCAAATCCATGGATGTTCGTGTCGCAGAAATCCGAAAACCTGTTCGTGGTTTACCATTGGCTATGGAAAATCCCCCT